CCCCTAAGTGAGAGTAAACATTCAAGAACAGTCCCAACCGGGGACTATTCAAGACTTTCTCCTAATGAGAAAGTCTTGAACGGGTATCTAGGCATATGATGATGCAAACATTCAACATATTATTGTAATTATTTATTATTAAACAAGACACAACTTGTAATATCATGAACATACTTTTATCAAATAGATAAATAGAAAGAAATATATATAGCTCCATAAAGTTTATAGTTCATACCAATATAGCAAGTATAATGGATGTAATGTCTTGAACTTCCCACTTGAATAGCTAATAAACTTGTGCTTCACTACATATGAATCTACAAAAATAAAAAAATACAACACCAAAATAAAAGTTAGTAATTTTGTCAAGAACTATATACAAAACAACCTAAAATTACACATTAAAACATACTACCAAATTCAACTAATTAATTAACAAGTTTACTAATAATCTCTACTTTATTCAAAATTTCCTAATAAAACCTAACAATCAATTTCACACCACTCCAACATATCAAATTATACTCCATAATCCATATATTTCCTAAAAGCATTAGGAAAATCATTATGTAACGTAATCTAAAACGGATTACTCCTCAATCTAACTCCAAAATAATTCAATAATTCATACTATACTTAACCAAAAATTAAGCAACAACAACAAATTGATAATAATAATAATACAATGAAAGAAATAAAAAAAATTATTCAAAATATATTTTCCATTATACTGTTAATTCATGAACAATTAATCAATTTCTTGCATTCTAAAGATACACACAATTAAACAATTTCTTGATTTCTAAAGTGCATTCTCTAAAATTTTAACCCTACCAACAACAAAAAAAAACCCAAAAAATTCAGAAAAATTAACCAAAAAATCTCTTTTTCCTCTCATTTACACTGTGGTTTCACCTCTAATTCATATGTAGTACGGGCTCATGCACTTTAGAAATTCATGAACAATTCACAAAAAATTACACTTTAGAAATCCACCGTACCTCTACTTCCAAATTTCAAGTTTATGATTCACTAATATCAAGTAATTGCAGTTTTTTTTTTCAATTAACCTAATTCATGAACAATTCACAAAAAATTACCCTAAAAACAACAAAAATAAAACACAGAAATTCAGAAAAAATTACCGTCTATTAATCAGAAATTTCGAACGGTGGCTGTGGGATGGTGGTGCGGTGGCTGTGGGATGGTGGTGCGGTGGTTGTGGCGTCAGTGGTGAGGTCTGTGGTTGCGCGCTGCTTGCTTGCTGCTTGCTTCGAACGCTGGTTGCTGCAATGTCGAACGCTGCTTGCTGCTTCGCGCACTGGTGGAGGAGGTTCGGAGGGAGTGAGGAGGTGGTGCGGCGTCGCTGGTGGATTGTGTGGTGGTAGGGTTTGGATGGTGGTGCGGCGTCTGGTCGTGGCTCGTACTATGGAGTTTTGGTGAATAAAACAGTGGAGAGAAGAAGCTTGAATTGGGCCGCGCGTTTTATTATATATTCAAATATTGCCACCGGTTTCGGTGGCCTTAAGCATTATTGCCACGGGTTCGGTTTGAACCGGTGGCAATAATAAATGCCTAATTCGCGGCCAATTTTTTAACCACCGATTTTAAAAAATCGGTGGCCTTTAAGCGGTGGCATTTTTAATTTTTCTACTAGTGAATATACACATTAGATTATAAAGTAGTTGGTTACTTGTATTTCTTGGCAAATGTACTTATTAGTATAAATAGCACAAATAGTATGATGTAATAGTATCTTTGTATTCTAACATTTTCATTCTAAAGAATATACTCTCATTTTCTCTCTCTTTCTCCAAGCTGCTTTCAAGCTCCTCAATGGCAGCATACTCTCTCATCTATTTTCTTCCTCCTTAGATCCATAATTGTAACATGGTATCAGAGCGAACGATCCAAGGTTCCTAGCTCCATAATTCCTCACAATTTTTCAGCTTGAATGTGAATTCCCAATTCCTATTTTCCCCAAAATATTCTGTCGAATTTTCGGTAAAATCAAGTTCGCAATAGAGCAATAGGAGCTTTAATTCGTCCAATTGTCCTCTATTTTTAATCCCAGTTTGTTTTTCGAACTTTAAAGCAAGCAATTGTCAATTCTTGGATTTTTCCCAAATTTTAGGGTTCTTCCAATTTCATTCTTTATTGTTCGAATTTGAACAATTTTCGATCAGATTTCTGGTGGATTTATGGGTGTTTAATTTCTTGAAGATTTCGATCGATTTTCTGGGTTTAGGTCATTCAAATTTAAGTTTGATTGGTTTGAAGAATTTCGATCGCTCAAGTTTTCGCTCAAATTTATGGGTTTCATGTTCTTGGCTTAGAAATTACAGATGCCTCGAATTGAATTGAAGTTTTTGTGTTTTGCCGCCAAAATTACAGTGAAGCAACCAGTGAAGTTCATTTTCTAAGTTCTTCGTTCTCGTTATTGGGTTCTTCGATATTCTTGTTGGTGGTGTTCGTAGCCACCTCCGTCGTCCCTGCGAGCTGCTGGCAGGGCTATTTCTCCGGTGGTGATTGAACCAAGTTTAGGTTCGTTTCTTGATTGGATTAATTGGGACTTTATGCTAAATCTGGTATAATTCTCATGCTTTCAATCCTTGCTAGCTTGGTGATTTGGTATTTTTGGTGTATATTGATTAATTAGAGGTGTAGTCAGAATTTGTTGATTTTGTTATAGTTTAAGATTCTAGTTACTTTTGGATTTGGGTTGTTCTTGATTTAAGGTAGAGTTGAAGTGTGTTTTGTGTTGTTGGATGTTGATGATGAATTTTGGTTTGGTGGTTTGATTAAACCGATTTGGAATTGTTTCAAGGTAGTTTGATTTGCTGTTGTAAATATTAAGTGATGGTATAAAGTGTTAGTTTGGTGGATTTTTCGTGTTGAATTGATGATGATTTGTTGAAGTTTTGGCGTGACCAAGAAGGTCATTTGTGAATAATTTGTTGCCCATAGAGGCATGATTTTTCCCATAGTGGCTTGTTGATTTTCCCATAGTAGAGGCTTTGATTTTCAGACCCATAGATGGTCATTTTTCCCATAGAGGCTTTGATTTTTCAGACCCATAGTTGGTCCTTTTGCCCATAGAGGCTTTGAATTTTGAGACCCATAATTGGTCATTTTGTTGTGCCTATAGAGGCTTTCTTTTATTATCCATTAAGATCAGTTTTTCAGACCCAATAGATGGTCATTTTGAGATCCTTTGTGATCAGTTTTGGCGAGAGCCATTGAGGCTCATTTCTTCAAAGACCCAAGTGGTCAATCTCAGACCCGGAGAGGTCAAATATCCAGATCCTTTGTGATCATTTTCTTCTCTTTTTCAGCTTCCAAACACATTCTCTTCCACATTCTTTCTCTTCTTATTTTCCATTTACATTTGAGCTATAGTGTATTGTTATATTATTGTTGGAGATTGGTTTGATTGTTGAAGTTGGAGTTAAGGCGTACATTGGTGGTTTGGTTGTGTATACATCGTTAAGCTTTGAATGGTTTTCTACCCTTCTAAGCTTAGGGGGATACGACATTGATGATTCCAAGGTGGTGATGAGTTCATCATTTCATAATGATAGGTTGATGGATTTGGTTTGGTGTCAGTGGTGGTTGATTTGATTGGTGATCGAGGAGTTGGGTATTGGTGGATTTTCAAGTTTGGTAAAGGATTTTTTGGTTTGGTGATTGTAATTTGAGAGTTGGGGTGCTAGAAATGGAAGAAGGCACTTTCTCAGGACTAAGAAATGGCATTCAAGTAAGGTTCTGGAGATATTTTAGAAAGTTTTTTGTGCAAGCTCAAGAGTATATTGCACCATGTTTCATGATTGTTGTTGTTGTTTCATAGATTCAGCAAGTTTAGTAAGTCCACTTCATCAGCATTTGATGCTCCTAAATTACTAGCTCTAGATTGGTAATTCAAGCTTAGCATCACTATTCCCAGCCCCTTTGCTTAGCTCTATTTCAAACTGTCATAGTTGTTCCACCCATTACAGTTTGAGGGGGATGTTAGAATATACACATTGGATTATAAAGTAGTTGGTTACTTGTATTCCTTGTCAAACGTAATTATTAGTATAAATAGCACAAATAGTATGATGTAATAGTATCTTTGTATTCTAACATTTTCATTTGAAAGAATATACTCTCATTTTCTCTCTATTCCTCCAAGCTCCTTTCAAGCTCTTTAATGGCAGCATACTCTCTCTTTTATTTTCTTCCTCCTTAGATCCATAATTGTAACATGGTATCAGAGCAAACGATCCTAGGTTCCTAGCTCCATAATTCCGCACAATTTTTAGCTTGAACGTGAATTCCCAATTCATATTTTCCCCAAAATTTTCTGTCGAATTTTCGGTAAAATCAAGTTTGCAATTGAGCAATAGGAGCTTTAATTCGTCCTATTGTCCTCTATTTTCAATCCCAATTTGTTTTTTCAATATATATGTACCATGTGTATGGTCCATATATATATATTCCTCCTTGTCCCATGAATAGCACCATAGATTGCTCAATGCAAATTTAGTACATATATAGTAACAGCAGAACAGTAAACTATTTTTCTTCTAAGCATCTCAAGTAATTTTACACGTCTTTGAGAACTACATCTTGTGAAGGCAAACTTGTGTTAGTTTGTCTATTTTCAATATATATGTACCATGCATATGGTACACTTGACCTCAGTGCTGATGATGACTTAAACAAACTCATGTGTTAAGCTAACAAGTTTGTAAGTAGTTTATATTGTAGTCCATAATATTGCATTTTAAAATAGTACAAGCTTCAAGTATTTATACAACTAATTTAAAAGTTAGTATGATAATACAAACCTCCTAAACCTAAGGAAACAAATATAACCATTATTATTTCATGCAAGCGGGTGTATCATGTGCATGGTCACCCAAAAGAACATTACCTTATAAATAAAAGAATATAACTTATATATAAAAAAGAGCATTACCTAATGATAAAAAAAACATAACTTATAAATAAAATAATATTACCTATAAAAAAAAATCATAACTTATAAATAAAAGAACATTACATATGAATAAAAGAACATTAATTATAAATAATGGAAAAATGCTAGCTACATACTACCCAACCCCATGAAAGAAGATGATGAACAACAATGGTAGTGCCAAAATTTCAAATTAAACAATCAAGTAAGTTTATGATAATAAATAAAGCTTCATATGAACAATATGCAAAACACAAAATATAGGTAAAAAGAACAAGCATAGAGTTCACCATTGAAGCACAAGTTAGGGTTTCATATTCATGAAATAGAACAAAGATGGACAAAAAAGAGAAATCATACCTCAAATGAGTAGGAAACCCTTGTGAAGTGAATTTATAGTGGAAAACAAACAAGTAGAATTTTCAATTGCAAGTTCTTTAGCCAACAAAAATACATAAAATTCTTAAATCATCAAAAACCCAAAATTTTGGTTGAGAAATTCGGATTTTGGAGTGTTAAATCTAGTAAAAATGTGTTTGTGAGTGATGAATTAAGCATATAAAAAACTATTAAAAAAATCAAGAAATAAAATGAAAGAAGAAGTTAAAGGGAGAGGAAAGAGAGAGTATCTAAGATAGAGAACATTACATATAAATTTCTTCACAAAAAAAAAAAAAACACTACATACAAATAAAAGAACATTAAATTTGTCCCAATATTCTTTTATTTATATGTAATGTACTTCCTTCACATGGTACACCCCCCTCTAGGTACCATACTATTTTCACAAGTATAAACTTAACAAGTATTCCATTGTATGTAGGTCAAGCACAGTAATCATCTCCCATCTTCCAAAGGCACCAAGTGCACAACTCTACTTTGGCTGCTTGATGAATAGCTCATGCCATCGTAGCCATAGCCATTGTTGATGCAATCGTGGGCCTCACCAAGCAAATATTTACTCTCTTCATTTTGGAGTGGCACGCTATTGTTTGACAACCATGGATGAGTAGTCATACATCTAATCCTCTCTAGCTCTCTTGCAACCTCCTTCATTGTTGGGCGATCCTCTCCTTTAAGTTTCAAGCACCTCCTTGCAAGATTAGCAACTTCCTTAAGCTGCTCAATTGCACCATTACTTACAATTTTTTCATCAAAAATCTCAAACAAACGATCTTCCTTAAATTTCCTAAGAAAGCATACAGCAAGGCATCTCTCATTTTCAGGATTAGCATAAGACATCGCCTTCTTTCTAGTAATTAGCTCGACAAGAACAACACCAAAGCTATAAACATCGCTCTTATCTGTAAGCTCACCAGTTTGCATGTACTCTGGATCAAGATAACCACATGTCCCTTGAACCATAGTTCCTAACTGCTCTCGATCTACCGGAGCTAGCTTAGAAGCTCCAAAATCAGCAACTTTTGCTACGCATTTATCATCCAAGAGTATGTTTGCAGACTTAATATCTCTGTGAATTATCGGTATAGAAATTGTAGTATGCAAATAGGCCAAGACCTCAGCAACTTCTGCTGCAATTCTTAAGCGAACATCCCAAGTAAAAGAAAACAATTTTTCCTCATCATGTAAATGATCATGCAATGTACCATTACTAATAAATTCATATACGAGCAAAGGTACCTCCGTCTCCAAGCAACAACCAAGGAGCTTTACCACATTCTTATTGTTGATTTGTGACAAGGCAACAACCTCGTTAATGAATTGTTCGACCTGGGTGGAATCAACCTTGATGGACCTTTTGATGGCGACTACTTGATTGTTAGGTAGTAATCCTTTAAAAACCATGCCAAAACCTCCGCGACCAATGATGCTACTATCACTATAATTATCTGTGGCCTTCTGAAGTTGTTCAAATGTAAACATCCTAACCATACTACCAAGTGATGATACATCTCGCCCTGAAAGTTTTTGCTGTAAAATATGACCACCATTTTGTTGAAAGCATTTCTCCCTTAATTTTTGGATCTCTTTGTTTCCATGTTGCCAATGGAACCAAAAGCCAACCAACAAAAAAGCAATGACTCCACCGCCAACACCTGAACAATTATCTTGCATTATTAATTCTTAAGGGTTTAATGTAAAGCAAGCATGTACTATGAAGCTTAGTTATCATTTACATTACTCGTATTTTTTAATTTACATGCGAGATTCTCACTAAAAACCGACAAGTGTGGTTTTTTTTTTGTCCTTCTTGTGTTTAGAGTGGGCCAATTGACCATATTGGTATAAAAGTTAACACCCTTATGACAGATTAGTATAAAAATTAACATGTGGCGACATATTGGTATATAAGTCAACAAATTGCGACATTTACCCCTATTTTCTCGTCGGATGATATGCGTACGATACACGCGCTTAATTTTAGTGCTAATAACTTTTATTTTTACATTTTGTTTTTTGTACTTTTCTCTACTTTTTATATTAATTTAAAAAAATTATGAAGTAAAAATCCAAAAAAAAAAAAAAAGGTTGAAAGCCCAAAAGTGATGAGAAAGAAGCTAGGGGAAAACGAATAGGAAAGCTTGAGCAAAGGGATATAAGCTTGAATGTATTGAGGGCGTTGGTCATTGAAGCATCACAAGGGTAGATTCTTCTTCTTTTTTTTTAAAAAAAAAAAAAAAAACACTCATACATATATTTTTTCTTATTATATTGTTGATTTACAAAGTTGTGGGTATAATACAAATGAAGTAATAATGAAAGTTAGCGTCTACTAGTAATTGGTTTTGAAATTAAATAACTAATATTGAGATTTTGTTTATTGTTTATTAGTTCTTTGGGGTTTTATCGTTTGATTGATTTATCAAAGTTATTGTATTGGAAGGGAAGAGGGAAAAATTATTATTTGGTGCTGAATAAGTATATTATGATAATAAATAAGATTGCAAAAGTAATTAAAACAAAATTTTGAAGTATACAACATGCTCTTTCACCCGAAGAAAAAATAGGGGTAAATGTCACAATTTGTTAATCTATATATCAATATGTCGCCACATGTTAATTTTTATACCAATATGTCGTCGGCAATAATTTATATACCAATATGTCATAAGGGTGTTAACTTATATACCAATGTGGTCAATTGGCCGTTTAGAGTGCCACCAGGGCATGCAGATAGAGAATCAATCCTAAAATCTTTTGAAATCGGTAAGGAAGTTTTAGATATGTTCTATTTACCATATTTTCACTTATGGGAACTTTTTATCTTATCTGAAATTATTATAACTTATTTTAGTTGTATTTTAACTTGGGTAACTGTTTATCAGTTTATTTTTTCAATACGAACTTATCTGAATTTATGACACTTGATATATATGAAAATAAGGTGAATAAAACAGATCCTAAGCTATCCCTTGCTCAAAGTGAGTTTCTTCTTAAATACAAGCAATAATGTAAATCTTATACTTCTATTTCTTATGCATTATTAATTATTCATACTTACTTCCTTTTTTAGTTGGCATGTACTCCTGTTTAGAAATTTTATTTTTAGCTAACACGTTTTCGTTTTGGGTAAGTTTTATACCTTGCATAACTAGCTAGTGTACCTCACTTGTTTTTATCATTTTCTCTCCTCTCCTATCCTTAATATGTGTACTTAAATTGAATGTGTCAATTAAATAAAAGTAGAGGAAGTAATTTTGTTAAAAAAAAAAAAAGTTATCACATGGACACTAAAACGAATGAAAATAGAATAGGATGGAAACAAATTTGTTGACCCCGTCAAAAAATGAATTTCGGAAAATTCAACATACTAGTAGAAAAGAAAAATCAACGGAGGAATTGACTAGATGATATCGACATATAATAAAAAGCCAATAATGGATGGAGGAAAGTGGCGTAAACATAATATCAATTGTTAGAAGATTACCTCAACCAAAAGCTAACCCTTATGGTTAAGGCGCAATGAATAAACTTATTACAATCAATATCATCAATAAAGAAGGGTTTCAAAAAACTAATATCAATATAATGAGGGGCCGTTTGGTTCGCACAGGGGAATTGGAATGGAATGAACAAAGGGAAAGACAAGGAATGGAATGAAAATCCCCCAATTTTGGGGTGTTGTTTGTTTTTAATAACAAAGGAATGGATTGAATAAAAGGTCACCAATCCAACCACCTTCACACCACCACATCACCACCTTCACACCAACCAACACCACTGGAAAACCAGCCCAGACCACCGCCGCCCCTCCCCCGACCACCGCCAACTCTCCCCCGAGCCTCGCCGTCCTCCCCTCCCCCAAAAAAACCACCCCTAGCCCCGATCTCCCTTGACCCAGAAATTCGCTGCCCAACACCACCTCACTCCTTCACTGCTCCCATGCTCCAATTCAAACACCAACCCGCAAAACTCACACTCCAACCACCAATTCACCGCAGCCAGCCACCAACCATCACCAGCCGCAACTGCATCTGCTAACGAACAACCCTAATCGCCAAGAATCGCAGCGATTTACGCTGACTAGTTGGAGTTTTCGGGGCTGGGGTGGAGTTTTTCGAGGCTAAGTTCAAGGCTAGGTGGGGTTTTACAAGTTGGGGTGGAGGTATTCGAGGCTGGGGGTAGAGTATTGGGTGGTGTTTTACGGGGCTGGGTGGTTTTTTTGGGGTGGTGGTGTTTTTCAGGGGTGCTAGTGTTTTCGTGGCTTGGGGTTGAGTTTTTTGAGGTTAGGTGGTGTTTTCAGGGCTAAGTGGGGGTTTTCAGGGTGGTTTTGGTGTGGTTGGAGAGTTTTTTCAGGGGAGGGGAGGGCGGCGAGGGTCGGCGGTGGTCGGGGGAGGGGCGGCCGTGGTCAGGGTAGGGGCGGCGGTGGTTAGGGCTGGTTTTCCGGTGGTGTTGGTAGGTGTGAAGGTGGTGATGTGGTGGTGTGAAGTTTGGTAGGGAAAGGGAATGGAAAAGTCTAGGGGGGTGGGGAATGAAGTTGGAAGAATTTGGGGTAATGGAGAGGGTAAAGGGAATGATTAAAAGTAACATAACTTCACCGTTACCACCACCACCGCACTACCACCCTCCCCACCACCCTCATCAACACCAACTCACTGCGTGGTGTGTTCTCATAAAAAAGAAAAATATAGGGTGGTTTTGTACAAAAAAAAAAAAAATGGTTTTCTAAGGAGGTTTTTGGCAAATTATTTTACAAAAATAATGGTTAATGTATTAATGTACTCCAAACTCCGTGTATAATAAACTTTGATGGACTATAGATGTTAGAAGGGGCTGAATTCATTGACGGTAAAAGAAAATAGGAGGATGATCGAAGTAAGTAACATATACTCACCAAGTATGATTATAGATTCCAGTGGCAGTAATACTTTCTTTTGGATTCTAACACAAGGACTTTCCTTTGTGCCATTGCCATTGAAGCTTTGAGGACATTGACAACGATAACTTCCAGGGGTGCTGTGACAATACTCTTGTTTTTCACAATTATGTAAACCATTGTCCGCACACTCATTAATATCTGGATAAACCCAATAAAGAATTAGCTGCAACATAGGTGTATACACTAATATTAGTGTAAACCAGATGTATACAAAAGTTTTTCTATCAAATATACCAAAGTTGTACATAATAATTAACAGAGTTAGTAATTAATTAACAAATGAAATTGATAGGATAAGTTAGATCACCTTGACAATCATGAAGGTAGGGATTAATACCCGTGAATCCAAGTTTGCACTCGCACCGGTAACCCCATTGCCCCGGCAAGTCATCAACACACACGGTGTTACCCTTGCACAACAATGGCTCCCCAGCTGCTTGCGCGCTTTTGCAATCTTTAGTTCCAATTGACCAATTATATACCATTGGATACAATAACTCATTGGCATCTTTGAAATACGAGACATCTTTTTTAAGAATAGACTGAATAGAGAAGAGCATTTCAGAGTGGTTTTGTTGAAGCTGATCCTTAGCCATCACAAACGCCACGCTGCACGGATTGTAACCTAGTACATATTTGTGGTTCAACATACTACCAGCTTCTAATGTAATATTGGTTACTCCGTCTGGAATGGAGGCGAGGCAGCAACCGATGCCTTCGCATTTATTGCTGATATACGATTGGTTAGAGCACCCAGTTATACACCCTGATAGAAACCCACCTGTACTATTCATCATTGTTCCTGAGAACAAACCCGTTGTATCGCACCCAATGGCACCGGCTATGTTTTGGGTTGTCGATAGAGCAAATCTTGTGACACTAATCCAGGATTTTAAATGATTGAATTTTGTACCTGTAATATCAAAACACAAATATGCAATGCTGTTGCTTACCCTGAATTCGCCGTCTAGAGTGATTAGTACTACCTTAGTAGCACCATAAGTTGGAAACGAGGGGACCGTAGTATCGTTGCAAGTGATATTGTAGAATATGCCCTCTGTAAGGGGATTACCGTAGTGGCACTTATCTCCTATGCCGAAAGGATAGGGGATGTCGACGTCGCCACATTTGTCAGGACAACCAGGAAGGGCTATTTGAGAGTCTGTAAAAGAAGCAACTTCTTGGCCTATAGTTTGATGTGGTGAAGACAACAATGTTGCCACAACGATTAGAAACAAAGAAATACCCCAACCAAATTCCCCTTTCAACATCTTTTTGTGATTATTTTTGTAAAACAAATATGTAATTGTTGCAAAATAGAACAGAACCAAAGAAAGAACTAAGAGAAACAACTGATTTTCATTAATGGAGGTGTAAAACTTTAATACATTTGAGAAGAAGAAGAAGAAGAAGAGCTAGGAAAACGAGAGAAAGAAGTAAATTGAATGAATAAAAGAAACTAGTACAGTAGGAGGTTATATACTGCTCTCACATTTAGTACAACCCCAACTAACTAACTTGTGCATTAAAACAGAAATAGCAAAAATATCCTAACCAACTTGTTGGCGTGTACTCAAGTTGTTATAAAGTATGCTGACTCATTAGCTTGAATCTTGAATATGATTCACAGTAATAAACTCATGAGTGTATTTTCACTTTCAGATCATAGAACTTAAGAATAAAATTAGTATGTCAGTCAATAAGTGTAGTATCTTAAAAGCATGTGACTGAGGGGGGGTCAAGATGAACTAGTCAACTGTCCTTTGCACCACGTCAACTAAGTCGAGGTCTATACTTTCCCTACTCTAAAGTCTAAAGTTCGAAAAGTAAAAATATTGACTTAGTTACCGAAATTGCTTTACACTTAGGCCTAGTTTAATTCACCTTAAAAAAAATATTTAGTAAAATAAGTTCAGTTCAATAAAAGTTAGTAACTCTAATGAAAAAATATAATAGAAAATCAGTAAAAAATAATCTCAATAAAGCAAAACTAATTTCACTTCAATAAAACTAATTCAGTTCAACAAAATAAGGTGAAGTGAACGACATCTTACTAGGGCATTTCTTTACTTTTGTTTTGTGCTGAATTTTTTAATTTTTGTTTGTTTTTTTTTTTTTTTTTGAATAATTTTTTTTAAGGATTTTTTGACTTTTAGCACAATTAAAATCAAGAAATACCACCAAAACTTTAAAAATTTTATTTTACCACCAAATAAAATTCTATAAATTGTTTTTACCACCCACCGTTAATAAAACTGTTAAATCTAACGGTTAAAAAAATCTTCGGTTTTCGGGCGCAAATCATGTTCTTCATAGGTTTATGGGGGCATTTTAAACACGCAAAATGAGGCATTTTCAATCATTTTTTGTCAATTTTGACCTCAAATTTTTACAGGAGCAAAATGCCTTTTAAAACCACGAAAAATCATGTGTTTGGCACGAAAATCAAATAATTTAAAAAATTTCGTTTGATTTTTTATGGCAGGTGGTAAAAACAATTTAAATTTTTTATTTGGTGGTAAAAAAAAAAAAAAAAAAAAAAAAAAAAAAAAAAAATCTTGATTTTTTTTGGTGCTAAAAGTAAAAAAAAAATCCTTTTTTTTTTTTAAATTCTGTCAATAATTTTTATATGCGGTTGGATATACCGTGTGGGCGTATGGCTAACTACCATTGGTTATGCTACTATGTTATTGCAATAGAGGTTACCCTATTAAAGTGATAGGTGTTACTTAATAATATACTTATTTAAGGGTTACTCAATAAGTAAAATTTTTAAAAATGATTACTCTATCAATATAATAGGTATTACTACTTTTTTTTTTTCCAGACGATCACACGATATGCATGCCCAGCAGCACAAAAAAACCCGTTGATTTTCAATAATACGGTACCACAAAAAAGCACATTGATTCCTACTTGATTTTGCTAGGTCGATACTCCGTAGCTCCATTATGTATCAACTTCATCAATCGGAATATTGCAACAAAATTTGTATTTTTGCACTATTTACGCACTCCTCTTCATTAACATATTGTATTTCATACGTAAACAAAAGATAAATCTATATAACATCTATCTTGTTAGATTTGTTTCAATTTATACTTTTATTTCATATCTAATCTCATGGCAATAAAAAAATTCTGACAGAGTTGTAAAATCAAGAATTTTGTAGTCGCAGGTAGAACTGTCAATTCGGCTAAACGAGTTAGGTTTGGGTCGGGTTTGTGTGGGTCAAGTGAACTCGGGTCAGGTCAATTTGGGTTAATGTCGTAACCTATGCGGGTCAGATTTGGCTTGGGTCATGCTTGAGTCTGGTCACGTCAGGCCATACATCTTATCGGGTTTAGGTCGGTTTTAAGTCAGGTCACTATTATGTCGAGTTACATTCGGGTCGGGTGAATAATAGGTCGAGTTTAATTCGGGTTTTAACGGGTTAGTTAAAACGAGTTAGGATCATTCTCGGGTTTGTTCAAACGATCAATAATTTGCGAGTTATAATCAGGTCGGGTCGTTTCTAGGTCTGGTCAGATCATGTTCAGCTTCAGGTCTCAATTATTAGGTTAATTTGGTTATCGGGTTGATTTCAGGTTGGGTCATAGCAGGTTCGGGTACATTGTTTGGGTCAGTTTGTTAACAATTCATGTAATGGATGACGTTCACGTTTAATCATTATCAATTTCTTTATTTATTGTAAGAGAAATAATTTTAGAAGCGACGAAATAAGTTTAAACTACATTTTTTTTTCACTTATTTTAGGATAAATAATTTCATAAAAGTTTAAATATGAGTTTGGATATTCTGGTGGTGCGGTACATAATTGAAATATATATGACAACATTGATGAATCAAATATAATATAAGGTGTTGAAATTAATTTGGTTGTGCCAATTTAATACTTCATTCTTTATTATTAGCTTTATGATTTGAATTACAATCCTTCTCAATTAACTAGCTTCTCTAAGGGAAACATTTTAAAGCATTAATGTGCTACACTAGATTACTAGCTAAAACAGTATATATAAGAGTTAAGATATGTGTGTGGTGAGGGAAGTTTTTTTTTTTTTTGGTGAGGGAAGTTGATTTAAGGAATCACTATGTAAGGAATGTTAAAGGTAGATTTGTCAATTTGAGTGTTTGGGTCGAGTTAGCTCGGTTCAGGTCAATTTGAGTCATTTGCAATACTATTCGGGCCGGGTTTTAGGTTAAAAACAGATCGAGTTGAATTCAAGTCGGATTAGTATCAGCCTAACAGGTCAGGTTGAATTCTGGTTTGGTTAGTAAAAGGTCGGGTTGGTTTCGTGTTTCAACGGGGTTAAAACGGGTTTGGGTCAATTTTGGGTCGGGTCGACTGGTTTAGGTCACTAATTGATAGTTTATGTTCGGTTCGGGTCACGAATCCTAAGGTTAACTCGGGTCGGTTTCAAGTCGGGTCATATCGGGTTCGGGTCACCAATTTCTCGGGTTCAAACATGTCTGGTCATGTATCAGTTCGGGTAAAATTTTCAGGTCGGATCATCTTTTGACAGCTCTAGTCGCATGGTAAGCAAACTATGGAGAAGTTAATGACAAAACTGCATAATTGCCAACGCAAGTAGTCGCAGGAGTAACGCAAATGAGGAGGGTCTTTCACCCTATATGCGTCAAGGTCTACTGTGTGAATTGTCTAGCCAAATTTGTAACAGGTTTACTTAATTATCAATAAGTTGTTGTCCTTTATTTATTTTTCTAATTTCTTGACTAGTATGTTTTTTCTCCTTTTTTGTGGATTCCGTTTTTGTCACACCAAAGCATTCATGATGATGATGATATAATTTATTGTACTAGTAGTAGTACAACTATACAACCAGCATTATTTTTTATGTCCACGTGATACCTAATAAATGAGCAATTAAGTAATAAGGGTCGGTTTACTTCATCTTATTTTCGTTGAATTAAAATTATTTTTGCTGAACTGGATTTATTTTTTATGCTTCTTTGTTATATTTTTTTTTTCTTTAAAGAAACTAATTTTTACTAAGCTGAGATTATTTTTTCTAAATCGAAATTATAATTATTGAATATTTTTTAAGGTGAAGTTAAAAGGACCTAAATGGTCTTGAATTTTAATGGTATAAGATTGAGTATATATAAAATTGCCTTACATGCTCATTTTTCATCGGTTTGACCGGCACTAAGTTTTAGGATGGTGAATAGATTATAGTAAAAAAAAAATTGTGTAAGTGCGTTTGTTTGGAGGTTAAAATTTTTAATTATAGAGAGTAAGGTAAAACTTTATACTAGTATTAGGTTAGGTGTCGTGCCATGCACGACAATTTAACTACTTTATTCAATAAAAGAAAAAAAATTATGTTGAAAATAACATAGATAAAATACAACTATAATATACTTATTATATTATATTCTTATTTTGCACGTATAATGATATGAAACATGAAATATAACAAAAGAGACAATTAGACAAATAAGTATACTAAACTACATGTTAGACCATATGTGTGTTTTAAAAATTCAATGATAACAGAAATAGCAAAAATATCTTTACTAACTTGTTGACGTGTACTCAAGTTGTTATAAAGTATGCTGACTCATTAGCTTGAATCTTGAATATGATTCACAGTAATAAACTCATGAGTGTATTTTCACTTTCAGATCATAGAACTTAAGAATAAAATTAGTATGTCAGTCAAGAAAAGTAGTATCTTAAAAGCATGTGACTGAGGGGGGGTCAAGATGAACTAGTCAACTGTCCTTTGCACCGCGTCAACTAAGTCCAGGTCTATATTTCCCCTACTCTAAACACTACAAGAAAACATAGAAATAGCGACGGACTAGTTACAACGGACACTTTAATCCGTTGGAAAAGTGAAATTTTCCGACGGATTTTTATTCCGTCGGATATTTCCGACGAAGTCAATAATTCCGTCGGAAATTTCCGACGGAATAAAAATCCCTCGGAAAATTTCACATTTCCGACAGATTTTTATTCCGTCGGAAATTTCCGACGGAATATAATTTTTTTTTTTTAAAAAAAAACCCTTAAGAAAACCCTAATCTACTCTTTCAGTCTTCCGCCCCCTTCTCCCTTCCTCTTTCCTCTTTCCCCTTTCCCCTCCTCTCTCCTCTCTCCTCTCTCCTCTCTCCTCTCCCCTCTCCTTCTGTATTCGTTCTTTGCGCTCTCTCTCCTCTTCTTTCTTCTTCTCTTTCCTTCTCTTTCCTCTTCGTTCTCCATCCCCGTTCTCCTTCTCCTCTTCGTTCTCCTTCCCCCTTCTTTATCCTCTTCTTTCCCCTCTTTATTTCCCACCACCAACGTCGCACCAGTACCACCAGCACCGACATCAACAACAACACCAACATCAACAATAACACCAACATCGACTACGAATCAACAACAATTTCCTCCAGTTTCGCCCTTTCTCTCTCCTCACGAAGAAAACAAAGGTTTTTAGGCCAAATTCGACCATGAAAACTCTAGATCTAGAGTTTTTGTGGTCGAATTTGGCCTCCTAAACCCAAATTCAAGGTTTTATTATGTCGAATTAAGG